TCTCCTTGATGTAGAGATCGAGGTGTCGACCAAGAGAGGAGGAGGTGAAGGCCTGGCCGCAGTAGGGACAGTTCTTATCCTTGGGGGCGCCCAGTTTCTGTTGGCTCGAGTCGGCGTTGCTCGCGGTTTCTGCCATTTTGGCTCGGGGTGTTGGATGTAAAGAGACGGGTGGGTAACGAGTGTTTCGAAAGGTCTATCGACGGTAGGGACGAATTCGTGTTCGTTTCGGTGGGGTGCTACAAGGCTTCTCTTGCGTGAACAGACACTTGCAGCTGCTCCAGGGGAGCTATGTAATCGAGGGTCATATGTAGATGGACCGGATAGAGAGTGGTCGGAGGCGGAGCCAGCAAAGTTCAGAGTTGGTAGATAAGGTAAGGAAATGTAACGAGTGGTGTTTAGGACAGAGTAGTGAGATACGCAAAGAGAGTAGTAAAAAGAGGGAAATAATTGAAAAAAAGAAGGACTAGATGCTGAAGAGCTAAACGAGTGTGCGAAGAGAAGGAGGTCGGTTGGAGATGTCGAGAAGTAGCTGCTACCCTTGTACGAACAGAGGCGAACTGAACGCAAGCCAAGACTTGTGACGAAGAAACGTGTATATCTGCCGTTCACGGAGTCGGGTATGGGAGAGGTTCGGGGTCGGCTCGAGATATGGGCGAGAGCTAAGGTAGCGAGTCGGGCTGACGGAGGAGGGCAAAAAGTAGGGTGCCGGGTATCAAGGAAGTAGTAAAATCTTTTCCCGAACTTGTCTCTCTCACGAGCGCTCTTTCTCTCTCTCTCTCTCTCGGTCTCTCGATCTCTTTTACCGCGCAGGTTCTCAATTCATCCGTGGACTCTCGCAATCTCTCGACCTCTCTGCAAAAACGAAAAGGGACGAAGAGGGGGTGGGTGGGAAAAGGGCAAAAGACGGGAGGTGGAAGTAAAGTACAGAAGAGTAAGGGGAAGTTGCAAAAATGTCACCCAGGATTTAATTATTGCAGTTTTTTTTTAATAAGGCAGGCGGGCAGGGGTAGCACCACCGACCCGCGCCAGAAGAGGACGGCGAGGTGGGAGCTTTGGCGCACCCTAAGGCAAAGGTACCTTGGGTGCTTAGGTACACCTCATAGCAAGGTACGGGGCGGAGAACTGATGTGCACCCCCCCGTCTTCTCTACCTACCCACCTCCATCACACACTAAAACCATCCCTCCTCATCCCTCATCCCTCATCCCTCACTCATCCCATCCGGGCCATCCCAATCCCAATCCCAATCCCAATCCAATCCAATCCAATCCTGTCCTGTCTGTCCACTATGACCAGCCAGCCAGCTCCTCACTCCTGTCCGCTTTCCCCCAGATTGCCGCCAGTGTGCAGGTGCAGCGCGCGCAAGCTGCAAGCACAGACGGAGCCAAGGACGGCCCAGATGCAAGCCCCCCCTTCACAAGTTGACGGGCTCAAATGTCCAGGGCCGTACGGTGGTCCCACCTCTGCGCCGGTGCTCTTTTTCTCATATCCATGAACACCTTTTAATAGTCATACACTACACTGCACCTTAATAGCACCTTAGCACATCGACCTACCCTAGCATTAAAATAGTTGAAATATTGACTTGGTGACTTAGGTAATGTCCAATGACGCCTCACAAAGCTGGCGGCGTCAGGGAGGCGAGCCGTGGGGTCCCATCAGCCAACGGGGAGAGGAAACGTATTCCTGCATCTCCTCTCATGGAAGGTCGAGGCCAAGTCTAAGATCAAGGTACCTAACGCTGTGCTGTACCATCCATGACAGATATCCCAGCGCACCATAATCAGCCGCCTCGCGCCTCGCAGACAAGGTGAAGAGAAAGCTCGAGCTATCGATACTTTACTTCACAAACTGTCCGGGAACACCTTACCTTAACTCTACACCGACTGCACACCCTCATTGTGATCCATAGCATCTCAAGCGACTTTGCCTTTCGGCATAACATGGCCAAATTTCACACACAAAGTTGAACCGAGAATCCCTCCTCCGCGGAACAACTCCATCTCCAAAGACTCCGTTGACGCGCTCTTGTTGGTCCAAAGTGCCCACCAACTCATCAACCCGGCATCTCCAAAGAGCCAATCACGACCCTCCTAAATCTACCAAGCTCGCGATGTGTTCAACTGGGACCCGAACTCAGTCCTCAGATATCAAGACCATCCCGCCTAGCATCTCTCCTTGAGCCGCCGTCATTCCAGCGGCTGGTGGCTCTCTCACATGTCCCGTCGCTTGTTCGCTTAGTGTAGTGCTGATCTGGCCCGCGGAAAGGAGAGGAACAGCCCGGCACCGCCCTGTGCATCAGTGCCACTGGTCTAGCGCTGTCGGGAGGGGTGTACCGGGAACTTTTGCCTCGAGCAAGCTTGCTTGTCTGTCTCTTCCACGTCGTCTCTTGTCTTGTCTTCTCCCCCTCGGGCCCCGATCTGAACCACCCATACAAGACCCTTTAGCAATTGAGGAAATAATTCTTCAACCCTGCCGAGCTGCCTCATTGAGCCCAAATTGCGCTGGGCAGCCTGGTCTCTCTCTCCGAGTCTCTGACTCGAGCCATCTTCAAGGGCTCTCGGTGGGTTTGCGGCTTGCCATTGCGAAAGAGCGCCAGGTCTCCGGTCTCCAGAAGCCACAGGCTTGACAGCCGTCGACGGTTGTGACTCGTGAGGTAATTAACTGAGGGCACGACCCAATGGAATCCACGGCACAAACGTTCAATAAAACGTAAAGATGCCCAAAGCCAATATTCGTCTGGTCCAGTCATAGTAATGGTCTTGCTCCAGTCTCCAGATACCACCTTTCAACTCACCTCATTCCCATCCTCACCGCGTTGGACAAATCCTGGCTAGACTGGTCGACCGACCGGGGCGCGGGTTGGCATGCCCGGTTCGTTTCTTTAGGCTCCTGGGGTCCCACAGACTCCCACTGGCTTGTATCCGATCCATTTTTCAGGGGGTTTCCGGGAGATCATCCAGGGGAGCCGGTGAAGGACCTCGTGCTAATGGCGCCGACGAACCTCACAGAGTTCGTCTCATGATCATTGCTCGCGCAGCATGTAAACGTCCTGGATCTGTACAGAGTAAGGCAAGGTAGCTGGCCTTCATCAGCTTCTGATAATGTCGACAAGAACTTGTTTCGACGAGAGACGGCAGGATTCCACATGTAAACAAGGCCGTGTTCTGCCGAATGTTTGGCCTTGGCTCTTGTTCCTCTCCGCTCCGTGTGTTTGACCCGGGGATACTATCCGGTGTAAAGGGACCCCGTTTTCCTGCATCTAATAATGGGGTTGGCATCTGCAGGACGCGACGCAAGGACAACGGGACAGATAATCGCGTCCAGGCCACTCATCCTCGAGCTTTCGGCGGCGGCGGTTCCTATCGCCGGCTGGTGCTGGATTCGCTGTCGCTCCCGGTCCTGGTCGTCCCCTGGAGGCTGGTCGTCTAGTGTAGCCTCCCGCAGCCGCAGCATCTTGGGTCAACCTTGTCTGTCTGGGACCGTCTCATAAGGGCCCCATCTTGCCCACCGAAGAGGTCAATTCAACTGCACACCAACCAACGTTAGCAGCCTGCAGGACACCGATAATTTCCCGCCGCCTCTCGTACGGCAGCTGAAGCTAACGCCCAGTGTCACGGCGTATTTGGCCCTGATCCAGAGCAACAGGCACTCGCTGGCCCGTTCTTCGACCTTAAAATGCCACAACTTGGCATCATCCGCCCTGGATTTGACGCGAGGGAGAGGCGAAGTAATACTGTTGGTCGGTTAGGACCTTGCAGATGATCACTAAGCATGGCTGGCACTTGCCCACCAGCTGTGGAAATCGAGATCCATGTCTTTTGGCGCTTGCCTAAGCCTTTTCAAGAACGTCTCGTTGGTTGTCGTATTTGGACAGCAAATCGCAACCCCTTTCGCACTGCAGAGATTTTGATGAGACGCAAATTACACTTCTGCAGTTACATGCAGATACGCTGCACATCGAGTCGTTTTTCTCCGTTGGTTGGAGCGGCACAGTCCTGTTGGTGCCGAGAAGCGCCTTTCGCAGGATAAAGTGGCAGTGTCTGGCAGATCGCAGAGAGCTGGCTGATAAAAATAAAAAATAAAAAGAATAGACCTTGAGGTGTGTCGTAAATGCATTTTTCTTCCCGGATCGGTCGTTGTCGATCATCAGATTAGCCGCGGACGAACTCATGCGACTCGCCGTCTTCAGTACCCATTGAGCTTTGGCGAGGGATGATTGCTGTTGAGTAATGACGCAAACCTTGACCACATCATCTTGTGACGTTGAAGATAAATATTATCAGCTTATCTACTGCAGCCCGTGTCAATGTCATAGCGATTAAGGCATCGCGAAGCAGCATGTGAGGTGTGAACAATCGGCACTGTCAACTTTCGGAACAGGAGAGAAGCAGTTGTTATTTGCTCGGGCTTTGTAGCTTCTCCCGGAAGCTTGATTGAGGTATATAAAAAAAAAAAAAAAAAAAAAGAAGGCATCAATGCCTTCCTAGAATTGATAATCTGGTATCCCACCGTGTCTGCGTACAATGTAAGGTACCACCTTAGGTAAGGTAAGGTAGGTAGGTAAGTTAAAAGCGGGAGGAAGATTCAAGACGGACCTTCCAGGTTGGAGCTTGGTCCACGGGTTCGGAGCTCCACATGAGCTCCTTCTCCCGTCAGTGGTGGGTACCCAAAGGATGGGGGCTCCCGGGCTGGAAGGAAAGCGCCGGAATTGGTGGCGGCAGGTATCCGTTCTTTCCCCTCCAGTCCGGAGAAGTGGCTAGTACATTTGGATCACGTGATGCATAAACGCCACAATTGGCTGCGACGTGAATCTACTCCAGCCTCTCGCTACCTATGCAAAAGCTGGGGCAGCTTCCGGTATTTGCACGTAGTCTTTTTGGCAGCGCATCGCAGCTTCCTTTCACGTCCAGTCTTGCGCAACCTTCTATTTGCGCCCATCCGAACCGCTACTGCCTAGACGAACTACGTATACACCGTGGAATAAACACTCTCTACACAATGCCTCCCGGTAAGCTCTCACCTCTTCGAACTTCACCCCTCGCGCCACTAGCTAAGTCGCGTCGAGATTGCGACAATACACTTCAGGACGCGAATCCTCCAGCAATTCTCCATACAACGTCGCAATGCCGCGTCGCAAAGCGAACGAGGGAAAGAAGCCCATAAAGCTGACTGCTCCTGTAGCTATTAGCGACGATGAGATGTCCGAAGCCAGCGGCGAAATCGCCATCCCGCTCAAGGAGAAGCGCGCGAAGAGCCGATCCGCAGAATACCGAGACGATGTCAGCGAAGCTAAGAGCGAAGAAGACATTCCCATCATCTCCGGCGACTTGAACGGCAACGCCACCAAGCCTGCCAAGGCTTCTAAAACAGGCTCTGTTGTGGCCGACGAAGAGGACGAGGAAGGCGACGAAGACGATGATTTGGAGGCGGATGAGTACGTCACACACACCAAACGGCTTTGCCGGGATAAAGTGGCTGATCGGCCGTAGATACGTTGTCGAGAAGATTCTTGACCATCTAGCTTCCGACGACGCAAGTGCCCCTCTTCCGGTGGCAGTGCGCCACTATACTAACGCTTTTTGTAGGGCACCGTGAACTTCCGTGTCAAGTGGGAAGGTTACTCGAAGAAATCAGATCAGACTTGGGAGCCGGAAGACAGCCTGAAGTAGGTTTCAAACTATGATCTGCGATCAACGCCAAACTCGGAACGACTCCTGACACGCTCGCAGGGAAGGCGCATCAGAGATCTTGGAAGAATACCTTAAGAAGCTCGGTGGACGCGAGGCGCTGTTTGAGGAGAAGACCAAGGCCAAAACGACGAAGAAGCGCGGACGCCCCAGTGCTTCATCATCTACACCACCAGCGAGCAGCAAGAGAGGCAAGCGCAATGGTCACCCCGCCGAATCTACTCCTCCCGTGTCAGCAAAGGAGGCCAAGGCCAAGGCCTGGACACTGCCCAGCGGTAGCTGGGAGGATGACGTCGAGTCGATTGATGCCTGCGAAGACGAAGAGTCAGGCTCTATTATTATCTACCTCAACTGGCGAAACGGTCAGAAGACTAAGCATCCCAAGGAGGTGGTATATAAGAGATGTCCCCAAAAGGTATGGTCCTATGTATTCCGGCGCAACGCAAGATGATGACACTGACGGACGCTTAGATGCTGCAATTCTACGAAAAGCACATTCGCATCATCAAGGCGGGACCTGACGCCGATCTTCCGGACCTTGATGCTACGCCCGAGGCCAAGATGTAGAACACTGAAAAAAGGGTGCCGTTCGTGTAATTTCTTGGGAAAGGATTGGCGTTTGGTTTCGTGATACATCTGATATCATCGGCAGGGTCTTGAGCGTCGTTGGCTTGGCTACTGCTTGTTGTGATATTTGCGCGCTTTCAGTCCTCGGGAGAAGTCTTATCAGGCCATATCGAAAATCAGGTCTAAGGCAATTCGGACTGTGACGGGCTTGCTATATCCTTACTGTGACTGAATTAGCGGGAGGAGGTGTGCTTCACGGTTCTGCTTCGTAATTTCAGGAGAAATCAAAACCGCAAGTTCATCCATTAATTCCAATTGCTTCAGCTGACGCGTGAGATTGCCCCTTGTTGTAGAGAATTATTAACATCCTACATCCCCAACACATAAACGCAGCCTGGGCGGGCAGGAACTTCTCGGCCTTCATACAAAATGTCAGAGTTCTCCTTCATTGGCTCACATCTAGCAAGAAAAATGGTCTCAGAGTCGTGAAGGGCATTTTATCCATGTCAAGAGGCGGGTGCCGCCGAGTGCTAGATCCAGGTACGATGCAGGTACAGCTCAGTCATAACCAAGTAGCGCTAGCGGTCTAGTCAAAGTCACGATACACACGATTTTACAGGGAAATGTACATCCGACCTCTCCCCAAGACACAGAGGCTTACTGCGACAAGGGTAAGAAACCTGCATGTTGCGAGTCCGCGAGGTTGGGTAGTGGAGGACGTCGACAGCAAGCCCGTCGGGATACTCCACTATAAAGCAGCTTTACATCCCTGCATCGCAGGCGGTTGGACGAGTAGGAGAGCCTGAAGCTGCCGGTAGCGTTGTCGCGGGTTTTTTTGCCCAGGGTGGTGGTGGTGGTAGCGGTGGTGGTACTTGGTGGTGCGGCACGCGGCCCAGCCTCTCACATTTCTATTGACTTTCGGGTTTTGCGGCTGGGCGGGCGACAGCTTTGGGAAAGCTGGTGGCGGGGCAACGCTTCTTTTTAACGTGAGGCTTGCCCGCGCTGCATTCCTCACCACTCCCAATTCCCCTCTTCTCTTTCTTCTGATACATTGCATATTCTCATTGCGAAAAGGGTTCATCTGATCGATCTCGAAGTTTCTTTCCCCCTCTCCTCATCGTCGTCGACCACTCCGTAGTGATCAACCCCGTTGTCCACCCCGGGTCTCTACCATCAACCTTTACCCACATCTCGGACCCATGCAACTCGGCACTTGACGAATTCGTGGCAGGGAACTTGAGCCGCTCATTCACGGATTGAACTCTCACCTAGCCGTCACGTACGACAATTCCTAAGCTTCCAACTGGAATTCCAACCGAGGACATTTTGTCTGACAAGCCATCCCATAGGCACAGACAAAAACCTCGGACCGTTGAAAGATACCACCAAACTCAATCGTCTTCCCGAGACCACCACATTCCACGGCGTCTCCGCCCAGACCCTCCGTGTCTCTCTCTTACTCCTCCCAGCCACCGGCTCTCCACACAAGCTGTCCCCCGCACATTCCCACACCCCCACCAAAAATCATCGCGGCCGTTGGGAGCTCCGTCAGCCTCACACACAAGAAAGGCACGAAACCAAGGACGGCCAGTCCTAATTAGCAGCCATGGTCAAACAAAACGACGTCATCGCGATTATTGTCATTGTGCTGTTCGTCGTCCTCGCCCTCGTCGCGTTCGGCATCTACAGATTGGTCCACGTTGCGCGCCAGAGCATGAGTGTGACGTCTGGGTCGAGTAGTAGCAGCTCTGACGAGATTGTCGACTGATCTACTCGCCGTTTGTCTTCACGGGATTTACTCATCGCTGCCGCTCGCTGCTGCAGCAATTACTATCTACCATCGCATTTACACCGAGATACCACGACAAAAACTATTTACGCAAGAAAGCGCCATTGCAGCTTTTGTTTGCTACTATGAGAGCGTTATGCCAAGGCCTCGACTGAGACTATGACATGAAAGGGGGAAAGATGGGAATGAAATCTGGGATGAGTGATAATGAGGAGGGGAAATTTAGGAAACATGGAAAGGGATATGAGACATGATTTATCGGCATTTTATCTGGCATTTGCGCAGCATTTTCTTACCACACAAAGCTGGTCATTTTGGGTTGCAAGATGCAGCAAAGTGTGTCTTCGGGGGGAAACATATCTACGAGTGTATGATACTGGATCTGGAATGGGCTCCGCCGGGGTTAGCGATGACCTTTTTCGAAAGGATGAAGATGAGCCCATGTACATAGAACGAACAAGTGGGATGAAAGAAGCCTCTAAGGGCAGAAGATGAAATAGAAATGAATACCAAGTATCACCACACTCGGCAGGATCGATGTACCCTTGGTTGCCTTTTGGGAAGAGGGGTTGTTTGAGGAAGATATATAAGACCGTTCCTCAAGCTCTCATTACCTATACCGGCAATGTACGCGATTCTAAGGTTGTCGGCCGCGTTGCAAGTGGCGAACGTCTTGCGAAATGGCCAGCTGCCTACTTGCTAAGTTGGTTCTGAAAGAGCTCGCCAAGTGGCTGGCTTCAAGTAATCCTATGCCTTGCGTCCATCAATCACAGTCGCCATTCGCGTATTCGTGACTAAATCGTTAGATTAAAGGCCGTGATTACAAGTGGCAATTGTCTTTTGAAGTGACTAGCTGCTTATTTCTTAAGTCAGTTCCATAGGTACCTAATAAGTGATATGTTTAAATAATCCCGTGCCTTTCGTCCGTAAATCATGGTTGTCGTTAACACATTCGTGACTAGATAATCACGAATACGTGCGAAGACGCTCGAACAGATACCAAACGGCTCTGCTGATGACGAGAACATGCAAAGGCACTTGAGTAGCTATCAAACGGCGCTGCTGATCATGAATACTTGCGAATGCACTCGAGTAGATATCGAACGGCTCTGTCCTTTTTTAAGATAAAGAGACAGCCTAGGTGAAGGCGGGTGGGTGCAAATCGGTACCTGCATTCGTATTCCTTCCTTGAACCCCTTGAAAGTTCCAAGAACATGATAACATGTGAGGATACGCTGCGTTCCACAAAATCAAAGGATTTGAATATTGAACGTGAGTTTCTTTGCCTTTTATATGAGTTCGTGATAATAGTTCTGTTCTTGTCTACTGGAGCTCATGTGTCTGCAGAGCATACATCGCATAGCCAGCTGGAAGAAACTTTCGGTTCTTTCTGGAAATAAAGAATTAGAAGAACAGGGGTGAGCCTTACGACTAATCGCAAGTCCATGGTTTTGGCACTGCTCTCAATCACAAGTAAATAGTGCCGCATCACTGCTGACAACCTGCATGGGGATGCAAGCAATGACGGGACCACTCACCTTGCAAGCTGTGGGTTTGGCTAGCGGGCAAGGGACTCAGGCTGCCAGACCAGGCTATGAAAAGCGACCGTATTCTCTTCCATCGACCTCATAAATTTCAGCCATGAAAACATCACCAAAATGCGTTTGATCAATGTGAACACACTTCTACTGGAGGAGTTTATGGGTGGGTGCCCCCAGTACACAACCCTATCTCACACTTGGAATGGCACGCATGAGATAAGTTTCAAGGAATGGCAGGTAAAAGATGTCGCGAGATCAAAAGAGGAGGGGTACGCCAAAATCCTCGGGGCTTGCCGGTTAACACGCGAATTCGGCCTCGAGTATCTGTGGGTTGATACGAATTGTATCGACAAGGAAAGCTCCGCCGAGCTCTTAGAGGCAATCAACTCGATGTTCAACTGGTACCAGGAATCGGCTGTTTGCTTCGCTTATCTCGAAGACCTCGACTTTGAGGCTACCACTTTGCCAGAAAGCTCAGGCGATGTTGTCGTTTGTCGAACCAAGTCTGTTCGTTTCAAGACTCAGGGCCAACAACAACGTTGTCGCCTAGAACTCGCTCGTAGTCGTTGGTTCACTCGCGGCTGGACATTGCAAGAACTCTTGGCTCCAAGGCGTATGTATTTCCTTGACAAAAATTGGAGGATCCTGGGATCACGGCATGACTTTGCGTCTGAAATTTCGAACATCACCGGGATACGAAACGAGTACATCTCTGGTGCCAAGTCGGTGCTGGAGGCGAGCATCTCGGAGATGTTTTCCTGGTTGGCAGGCCGGGAGACGACACGTCCCGAAGACATGGCGTACTGCGTGTTAGGACTCCTCGGTCTCAACATGCCGTTGCTCTATGGCGAGCGCTCGGCGGCGTTTATGCGCCTCCAGGAAGAGTTGATCCGTATCTCGGACGACCAGACAATCTTCTGTTGGACGTGGGATCATACTATCCCGCACGACTGGAGTAGTCTACTCGCACCATCGCCGGCAGTCTTCAAGGGCGGCGACCGTTTCTTCTGCGGATCGAAGACTGACGAGTCTATTGTCGGATGGAGCATGGCCACATCGTACTCGATGACAAACGTAGGTCTGCGTATCCGCCTGCCCACGCTCAAGATGTCCGGTCTAGATCTTGCTGTGCTGAACGTATCCGAAAGGAGAAGCGAAGCAGGAGAAGAAGAAGACCCCAGCACGGGACGTGTTTGCATCCCTCTTTTGACGAGCAATTACGTCGGAACTTCGGATGGCGTCTCGTCGCTAATTGACGGTTCTGCTATTGGCGCGCAACGATGGCCGGTACCCGCGCGACCCATAGCTCTCTATGAGTTGAGAAACATATATCCCTCATGCCTACAAGAATTCTGCATTCATTCGTTGCAACGAAACGCCGAGTTGTTGAAGTACGCGATATCACTCTGGCATGTAGGAAAACCTGGGTACCGAGCATCGCAGATGATTATGCCAATCATCGAAACACGAAAAGCACCACAGTTTCGTATAGAAGTCAGCTCGACCGGCCAGAGTTCTATAATATCACAGCATACAAAACATTTCGAGCATTTTTACGTCAACTCCACTGGCCAGGCACCCTTCAATACCCCATACAGAGGCCTTGTTCCCCTCTACAAGCTGAGACAGCGTGGAACGCTCGGGGTCGAGCTACAGTTGAATGTCGGAGACAGCCGGGTAGAGAGGGTCATTGTCGGGGTCCACGCTGCGGCTGAAGAATACCTTCCTCGGGAGAAGGGAGACGACGACTGGTTTTGTTACTTCAAAGACGAACAGTCGAAGCGGGCAATCTCGGGCGAGTGGTCTTGTAATATGGCGTGCTCACCGGACAGGACCATCTTTGTGCATCTGGATCGACGTACGATACAGCTCCCTCACGGAATTGGTGGTGAGGCCAGTATACACTTCCTTCTTGCCGGCTCCTTCTCTGATGGAAAAGGCATTAGATAGATTTGGGCTTTGGAATAATGCGGATGTCATACACAATGCTGTGCATCGCAAAATGTTAAGTTGGCCATGGGATGCTAGTGAGCCTTAGATAAGATTCAACTGCGTCGATCGACGGAGGGTCGGTACAGAAGACCTGTGCTAGATATGGAATTTGATTATGAAGTGTGGAGGGAAGATGTTGGGGTCAAAAGCGCTGTTTCAATACCTGCTCTATTGTTCATGTCGAGGAGCAAAGGGAGAGACTGCTAGACATTAGCGACGTTGCGCTATGTTTCTTGACTCACTTATTTCAATCGATTTGTCTTTTAGGGCGATATTCGCATTCAAGCACCAACTATCTAGTTTTCGCCCAAAGACTGAGAGAAGGTACTCGGGTGCGAAGTGAGTCGAGGTCTGATTATCCTTTCAGGGTATTGACAACCTCAAAGAAGGTCGCTCGGGAGAAAACGTCTCGAATGTTACCAACGCAGCTACGATGTTCAACCTCTCTTTCACAGAGACCGGAGTGGAGCATGGCATATATAAACTGGTTTACTAGCTCCTGCCAATATACAAACGCTCATAGCCGGCCCAGTTCCATTTCAACAGACTGTCAACTAAGAAGACAAGGACCAAGCATCACCACCACCAAGATGAGCCAAATAAACGGCGGTCTCGACTTCAACTACCCCGGCCGCAACAAGATCCTGTATCAAGAGCAGAACGAGGTGGGCTACGTCGACGGAGACGGAAACGCCGTATTCAACGACGCGTAACGAGAGAGCGGCCCCCAACTGTTCACGAGAGAGGTGCTCAAGCTACGTGCAGGGCACTTTCTCAAAAACTGTATACTCCCAGGTAGCACGTACTTCACCGCCGGAGTGACACCCGAAGGCAAGGCCAGACTCCGTTGCATGAGAGAATGGCCGTGGAAAGAATGCAAACGGACGCTGGAAGAGTATAAGAGTTGGCGTTACAAGTATACAGTAGAGGGCACTATCTCATTCCATGGCCGTATACAGCCGATTAGCAGGGAGGACACGGAGGATACGGCTCGAGATGCCTAGACGAGCCAATGCCAGACTCAGGTAGTCGAGGTGCCGGAAGAGGAGGATGAGGTGAACGAGGACCAGCAAGCCAGTGATTAGATATCTGGTGCTTGGTCTGAGGGTGGCTTCTTGGTGACCCTGCGAGGTTGGAAGGTGGCGTTGAAAATCGTTGTGCTCTGGTTGCTGTCCATGATATACCCTCCATGGAAGAATGCAAAGCTAGATAATGAGATGAGAAGTCGGAATTGATGAGCTATTGGCAAGGCGATGGTTCAAAAGGCACATGATATGAAAAGCTAAGATTGGTGTTATGAGACTGGAACAAATCAAGGCGAGCTGTAGTTGATTTCGAAGGGTAAAATGAAGTAGCGTGTGTTGACCTTGGGGTTGCTTCAGAGTCCGTAAGACTCATGGTTTGAGGTGAATTAATGATACCCCTGTTGCTGCTTCACTTGGCGTTGGTAGTTGGACGTTGAAGTCGACCATCTGAAGTCGCACGCACGGTCCACCTCCCCAAGCAGAGTGGTCGGTCATGAGAGCTTCACTGGCCATCTAATGATGATATCCAAGCACCGAATAGTAAGTAGCGAGCTGAGCAAAAGTCGGGTGAGTAAGCCTTTTGAGTTCGGCGACATGGCTGCCCAAGGTGTGCAAGGTTCACTGTCAGAAGTGCCCGAGGGCGTCGGCAGAAAGAACAAGAGACAGAGACGGCATCGGAACCACGGATGTTGCAGTGATGGGCGTATCGAGGGGGCTATCTCATTCATGGGCAGGGCAGCTTGAAACATGGACTGGTGGGAGGCATGACGACGGGTGCCCGAGCTCTCTGACGGCAACCTTGCCGGATGATGCGTCTGATATCGGTTCAGTGCATAGACGGAAAACAGGTAACACGAATATGCGGGCGTGTGTCTCTTCATACAAGAATGACTTGCTCGTGTGAAGTTGAATTATCGTTAAAAAGGCGGTTTGTCTGCACGGGAACCTTCGCAAGAAGGGTATTGCTGAAAAAGGGGACTGAGTTGCAGAGCGAGCCGCGAACGAGCCAGGCGATTGCGGGACATCAGAAGTCAATCGGTGGCGGGACATTCCACCACCTTACGGATACTTAGGTACCTACGGATAATTAGCGTTGTGGCATTGGAAGGAAGGAGCCACCTCATCCCTCCCAAATCAATCTTTCAGCGCACCCGATTGCGTAGCCCAGGGAACTATGTCGCTGCAAGTTCCCGTCAGGTAGCAGATAGACAGGCATTTGGGCAGGTACCACCTATGTATTGTGGACCCGATGCGGGACCGAGATGGTAGAGACGATCAACATTGAATTCTGGAAAAGACCAAACTCGACGACTGTTACTGACAAAAAATGATATAAAAATATGTATCATATGTTTTTTTAAAGTGATTAAAATCGATACAAGTAACAGAAACATCTTCACCAGCCCCACTGATTGTGAAGTGGCGGCGCTATCGGGCTTAGCTTGGTGCTGACGCTAACAGGAGCCCCAGACTGGACGGTCGAAATACCTCCCACCCCCCATTCAACCAGCGGGACCAAAGGCTGCCCTGGCAGCAAGCTACCCCCAAGGACAGACAGACTCCAGCACACGTCCACCCGTTCCCCTTCTGGCTTGCATCACGACACGACCTCGAAATCCCACCTCAACCTCAATCAACTCCCTTCCAAGCGCCTTGTCCCCCATCGCACCGCCACGCCGCCCTCCCGATTCCGACTGCGCGACGACCATGTAAATGGTTCCTCCCATTGCATTGCGAACACCCTCATGATTGCTCCATTCCACTGCGACGGGACCGCCCTACCGAGCAGCCATGGACAACAGGGCCCAGCGATTCGAGGATGAGAAGCGGCGCATCATCGAGAGCTGCTTCATCAAGAAGGATGTGGACGGATCGTGTGCGTTGAATCCCGACATCGCTGAGATTCTCAAACAAGAAAGTCTGCTTCATATGAATATAGTACTGACCCTTGCTTGCTTCCGTCAACAGTGCTCGAGACATATATCACCCATATTCGAATCACCGAGTACTCCTCTCATCCGACCTCTCCTCCGCCACCTCAAGCACGAACACCCGAATCACAGAAACCCCGCGTAATCGTCGTTGCAGTACGAAAGAGTGGCCGAGTGCGTATGCACAAGACGAAAGAGAACGCCAACGGCTCCTTCTCAATTGGAAAGACATGGAACCTCGACGACCTCTCCGCCATCGAGTCCTTCACGGGGCCGCCGGCTAACCCGACCTTCCGCGAATGGGCTGGTGATACTGGCTTCATTGTCACCATCGGAAAGCCCTACTTCTGGAATGCGCAGTCGGATAAGGAAAAGAAGTTCTTCATTGCCAGCCTGGTTAAGATCTATGGCAAATACACGGGAGGTAAGGTCCCTGAGCTATCGGGCTTCGACCAGGCCGAGATGGCCCAGATACTCAGAAACGAACGACGACCACCACCTCCAGCACAGGCTGCCTTCCGACCCCCCGCAATGCCCGATGCTGCTTCTAGTCAGACCAGCCTCGGTGCTCCGAATGCGCCCTCCAACTATGGCACTCCCTCGCCAGGCCCTCCAGGCCCTCGCCGACCACCACCTCTCAATGGAATGGCGAATAACTCACCAGCGGGAAGCATGGCATCTTCGTTCTCGCAGGAACCGCCTACGCTGAGAAGATTTGGGAACAAGAGCCAAGAATCTTTCTCGCCTTCTCTGGGAGGCAGGAGCGACGATACGGGGAGCATGCCGCCACGCTCACGAAATGGCATGCCTGGTCAAGGGGCCTTTGGTAGGTTCGGTGAGCCAGGTCAAGAGCCTGGACTTGGACCACCTCCACCAATCTCCGAAGAAGGCAGACCACCAGAGAGGAAGAGACCCCCGATGGACCCTGCAAGACCCCAGGGACAGGGCTTCAACGACAGAGACCTGGTTCCTGCGCCGCTAGTGAGCCCGGGGATGCGACGAGATCAAGTCGCCCCTCCTCCGAGGAGTACAGCCAGGAAGAACTCTCTTTCGCAGAGGTCAGACGGCGGTTCTTACAGGGACAACCGACCAGTCACACCCCTTACACCTGGAGACCCGGGTGCACCAGATGTTCCTCTCGCACTCAGAACCCCGACGCGAAATGGGGCAACACCCACAAGACAGCCTCCTCCTATTGTCTCTCCGCCGCCTGAAATCCCCGTTCCCCCTGCCCCGGTTTCTCCCATCGTACAGACTCCGCCTCCAGCCCCTCCGCCAGCGCCTGTAGCTGCGGTCGAGGAACCCATACCCGAGGAGCCTCCGACCGTCGAGCCTGCCCCTGAGCCTGAGGCTCCTGCGGAACAAGAAGATGAGAGTCGGCCAGGTTTAGGACCGATGATAAAAGCAAAGAAATCCAAGAATGATCTTGCTGGTGTGCTCTGGAAGGCTGCCTCCGCCGCCTCAGCTTTCAAGCCTCGGCCTGGCGGTGCTGGTGAAAG